AGTTCTAAGTCGAGTTTAGCTACCATGGAAAACACAGTGCAAATAGATGAGTGTTTTACTACTGGAGAGAAAATCTCATTATAGTCCACACCCTCCTTCTGGTTGTGCCCCTTTGATACTAATCTAGCTTTGTACTTCACCTCTTCATTATTAGTTGTTCATTCTTTCTTGCGGAATACCCACTTGCAACCTATCACCTTTTTGTTCTTAGGTGGTTCAACCAAGTCCCAAGTATGATTTCTGTTAAGTGACTCAATTTCTTCTTGCATTGCAGTTAGCCACTTATCTCTGTCATCTTGGTTGAGTGCACCCTTATAATCATAAGGGTCACCATCACCACATATGAGAGCAAATGCCACAATGTCTTCAAATCCGTATCTCACAAGTTGTTTGATAGACCTTCTTTCTCTATCCCTGACCAATTGGTAGTCAGTCTTTTTTGCTCCACCTGCTCATATTGACTTTCTTCTAGGCCCAATGATCCCTCTAGTGATGAATGTAATGAACTATTGTTCTCGTCATTAGAGGAAACATCATTAGATGTAGGCTTATGTACTTGTTCTACAAATAGCTTTTCATCTTCTTTGCTGATTTCTTTCACCATGGATTGCTCATAAAAAACCACATATCTACTATATAGCACACGTTGGGCTGTTGGATCCCCATAACTTGTACCCGTTAATTCCCTTATCATACCCAATGAAGATACAAGGTTCAAACTTTGCATCCAACTTGGATCTTTCCCCTTCATGTACATGAACATATGCAGGACATCCAAAAACTCTCAACTTTCTATAATCAACTAGTTTTCCATTAATCCAAACATCTTCAAGAATTTTGCATCCAATTGCTGAATTTGGTGATTTGTTCACTAGATAGCAAGCTGTATTTATTGCTTTTGCCCAAAATACCTTAGGTAATCCAACATGCAGCCTCACACACTTAGCTCTTTCTGTCAATGTTCTATTCATTCTCTTTGCCACTCCATTTTGTTGGGGTGTTTTTGGAGTTGAAAAATGCCTTCTAATTCCATGGCTTTTATAGGATTTTAGGAACTCTCCATCATTGTATTCCATCCCATTATCAATCTTTAGGCATTTCACCTTTTTTCCTGTTTGTAATACCACCTCGGCCTTCCATTCCTTAAATTTAGCAAATACCTCGGATTTGTGCTTCAAGAAATACACCCAAACCCTCTCGGAGTAGTTGTCAATGAAAGTTACAAAGTAATGAGCTCCACCCTTAGATGGGACAGGGTCTGGACCCCACACATCAAAGTGAACATACTCCAAGACTTCTTTGCATGCATGTTGTCCTATCTTGAAAGACACTTTATGTTGCTTTCCATACGCACAATACTTGTAGAATTTTAGCCTATAAGTCTTTACTCCACTTACTACCTTCATCTTGTGGAATTCTAACAAGCCTTTCTAACTCATATGGCCTAGTCTCATATGCCACAAATCTGTATCATCTACATCTGCATCAACTGGGGTAGTAATCGCAGCTCCACCTGTCACTGTATTCCCTTCCAGGATGTAGAGATTGCCTTCTCTTCTACCTTTCATTATAGTCATGGATCCTCTCTTAACCTTAAGAGCGCCACCTATCCCTGTAAATGAACAACCATTTGCTTCAAGTGTACCTAAGGAGATAATATTTGTCTTCAATGTTGGGACATGTCAAACACCACTAATTGTCCTTACACATCCATAAAACATTTTTATTTTGATGGTACCAATCTCTACAGTTTTTCAAGCTGCATAATTTCCCATGAGAACAACACTACCAACATGTGGTTCATAGTTGTCAAATCAGTCCTTATGTGGACCCATGTGATAGGAGCATCCAGAGTCAAGTAACCAAGTTCCTACAAATTCCCTTTCCTTATCAGAAACCATAAGTACATCTACATCTTGTTCTGCTGCAATACTTGCTTGCTCTGTTTTATGTACTTCTTTGTCCCTTTTTCTTTGTTTACAGTCCTTCTTCATATGCCCCTCCTTATGACAATAAAAACACTTGGATTCTTTGGCCTTGGATTTTGATATTGACATTTCTTCATTCCTTTTTCCTCTTTCTCTAGACCTTCCACTTCCTTTCCCCTTTTCTCTCACCACTAATCATTCTCCATGGGAATCCTCAGTATGTTTCTTTCTCAACTCATTTTCCAATAGTGCTACTGTAATTTCATCATACTTGAGCTTGTCTTTCCCATATACCAAAGTGGTGACAACGTTATCATAGGACTCTGAAAGTGAAGCCAAAAGTATGATGGCTTTGTCGGTATCATCAACCTTAACTTCTACTCTCAAGAGTTGGGAAATAATTTGATTAAATTCATTTATATGGTCAAGTAAGTTTGCTCCCTCCTCCATGCGAAGTCCATAAAATTGTTCATTTAAGAATAATATGTTTGTCATTGACTTTGACATGTATAAGGATTCCAACTTCTTCCAAATTTCTGATGTTGTCTTCAAGCCCGATACATGATCCAAAGCTACTAAAATATATTGTCCTGCAAAGAAATCCTCCACTCTTGTTTGCCACAAGCTGAACCGAATAGTAGAAGAGCTTCCCTTCGAGCTCATGGTGTGTTCTTTCGATATGTATGTTCAAATTTAGTAAAACAGCCTCAAACACATCCTTTTAAAATAACCCATAAATTTAACAAACACCTGGAGTGTTAAAAGAATATCGTAATGTTTGTGACATAACCTTTATGGGTTTAGAGTTACTATAAGTGTTTGAAACCTACATAAAACTACTCCACCTTCTTAACAACGAACCCAAAACCAAAAAATATGTAACTCACGAATTAACAGGGCTGCCAACTCCCCTCTGTGATCCAACAATACATACATCAAGACATTCCATAGCAATAAAGAAAACCAATAGCTCTGATACCAGTTCTAAGTATTTAAAACTATGCTAATGGAATAGTGTATTCAAGCATAACAACACACACAAGTACAGAAAATTTAACATGCATAACTCATATAGTAGAAAAATGGAAGAGAGATGGAGAGAGCACACCAGGTTTACGTGGTTCAGCCCTACGACCTACATCCACAAACGTTTAAGAACAAGAAATCCATTATAGAAGCTTCTAATAGAGTTACAGTGGCTCTCCTTCTACAGCCATTCTTGCTTTCACGTTCATGTCCTTTTTTTTCTTTGTCTCCTTCTCTTTTTTCACACATTTTTCTCAAAAGACAAAAGACAACAATAAGGAAAACCTAAGAGATACCAGCCCTTGGATCTTAGTTATTTCCAATGGTTGAGATTACAAGACATAACACAACTTACATTTACAAGATTTCCAATAATACCCTTGATGAAACCCCATAAACTCAACAATACCCCTTTTATTTCTAACAATTAACTAAATCTTCATCACCGTCAGTGTCCGTTAACGGAAGGATTAAAAGGACTAGTTTGCTCATCACTTGGAAAACTCAAACTCATGGTTCAACAGAAGACATCGTCGATGATCTTCAAGCTCTTTGGTTCTGATAAATGTTGAGGACCGATTGGCCTTGAAATCTCAGGGGATGTGATCAGTGATGTAGAACAAATTGAGGTGGAGGGGGCCGAGCAACAAAGGCGGTGCTCAATAATGGAGGCTAGGTCTTGGGGGCAATTGGGAATTTGAAGGGACTTTGGTGAAGTTAGAGAGATTAGACTGATCTCATACTGAACTGAACCATTATCTCTCTCATTTTTTTCTCCACTATTCTTATTATTGTTTATACTACCATTTCTTTCTCTCCATTTTCCCTTTGAATATCGATTTTAGATTATTTTCATGGTATCAAAGCACCATTTATAACCTGAATCCGTTTCTCTTTTTTTTTTCTATTTTTTTTTCTAATATTTCTCATATTGGCATAAAGGAACACGATTAGTGTTGGTGTGACTGATCAGATAAGGGAAAAGTAGTCTTTTTATGCCTTAGATTGGTTCGTATTGTATGAGCCGAATGGTAGATTAAGTCGCTCTGTGTAATGGTTAGTTTAGGTATGCTTTCTACAGATTATTTGTTACTTTTATTAGTGGGTATGATGTGCTTGAGAAACCTAATATAACTGGGGTTGTTATTGATTAGAGGAACATTTGCAATGGCGGTGGCGAAGATGGGATAATATAGGGGAATGGGAGAGAGATGGGTGGGCATGTACCCACCATGAATCTAGCACAAATACATGTTTTTGAAGAAGATCCTACGTATTCCTTTGTTAACTGGAGGGTTCGACAGGAGCATCATAGGGTTTGGAGGCGGGTTGTTTAATTAGCTTAAGGGAATATCTTCACAAACTTATGAGTTTTGGCCCTTAGATTCATGTTGGAAATATGGGGCTTACATAACAGTATTCTAGGTCATCGTTCCTGTTCATCTTTGACCTAAAGAGTAGTGGCAACGATCTCTCTCTCTCTCTCCCCCCCCCTCCTACAGCTTTCTTCCTCCACTACGAAATTCTCATCGCCTTGTCCTACTCGCACCCATCGTCTCCCTTCTTTTTGTTTTTCAATTGATCAAAATCTTCACCGTCGATATTTCTAAAAGTTGCTGACTTGTAAGAATAGAATCAAAATTGCTAGGGTAGATAAGCCAAAAAAGATATTTTTGGTATAATTTAAAATTAAATCAAACACCAAACGGTCTTGATGGGAAGGAGTTGTATGTCAATTATCATAGAGAATAAGCGTACTTTAAGACAATACCAAAACAATAAGGGTAATTTAAGAATTTTGCCCAACTTTAACTTAAGGTTTTGCTAAAAAAAACCTTTTACGCAAGGGCGAGGCATTGAGAGTTTCATGCAGTGGTTGTTTTATGCATTTTAGCACGCACCCATTGTCCCAATCGGCACGGATTTGATTGACACGTTTTAAGTTTGTTAAGCGACCTCGCTCAGCCTCAACTCGTAAGCCGAATGCTTGTCGACTCGCTTTTCCGCTTGGCGGAATAAGGAGCTTCTTTTCATTCAGCCCCTTTCGTGGTAAGTGTTCTGCTCCCTTCCTCGTTCACACTCTCCAATCCCTCCAACCTGCCTGCTGTCTGATATAATCTTTTTCTCTTTTGTCTTCTGATATATTCTTATTCAAGCAGAAGATCGTAAAACCTCTGACCTACACTCCTTTTTCGGGGATTTCATTTCTTCTGTTCTACTGTAATTTCTCATGGATTTCTCCGCCGTTTGATGGCGTTTTTAGGGTTATATAGGATGGACTCTGAAACCGAGCAAACCAGTTATTTTAAGAGCGGCGAAGCTGCGAATGGTGATCTTCAAAGACAAGCTGAACAAGTTGGATGCGAAGGCACTGCTGATTGCTTAAGTAATGGAAGCCATGGAAACGCCCAGCCTGAAGGAACCACCACCACCACTAGAGATGCAGATTTCGATGCGGATAATCACAATGGGACTGTACGACCTGATACTTTATCTATAAAGAGGCATAACGGATTAGCTCTATTAGAAAGGGTTATTAAGAAATTTGGCTTCTGACAAGCAGTAATGGTTTGATTTGGTTTCATACTTTCTTTGCAGAAAAAGAGGCCTAGGCAGCGGAGGGAAATGACATTGCAAGACATGTATAACCAGCAAGCGGACTACGACGACGACGACGACGACGACGATAGTGACTGGGAACCCGTGCAGAAGCATGTAGTGAGCGAGAAGTGGTTTTGTGTTAACTGTACAATGGTTAACTTCGATGATGTTGTCTATTGTGATGTACGGTTATGTATTGAGCCTCTTGCTTTGAGTTCAGTGTGCGTTTGTTTGTGGTTTATGGAGATATGAAGTGACGCCCTTTGGGTTTCTGCAGATCTGTGGAGAATATAAGGAGTCTGGAATAGTTAAGCATGGTTTTTTTGCGCCTAATGATGCACAAGAAGCAGCTCCTGCTCAGGTTGAAACAGTGGCGACCAGTAAGGGCCAAGGTATTTGCTTACAGATTGCTGATTGTTAGATTTTATTCGAGTCGTTTGACATGCTTGTCCTTGGGTTGTATCCCCAATGTGATCTTTGTGGAGTGTTCTATGGAAATGGCCTTGTTGCTGGTTGCAGAATACAATGCACGATGTTGTTTATATCAGATAATGAAGTAGTACAATTCTTTTTTTTTTGGTGATAAGGCCTATTTTTTTTCCTGTCACTGTAGGCATTACTTTTAACGAGACTATAACTTGTACCTGTAGCATAGATATGGATTTAATTTGGTATAGCAGCAGGTTGTTCTTAGCATCTCCTCCATTATACCATGCCATCAAAATACCTTGTTTTCTATATTCTGTGTCTTGAGGAATAGCAATTCCTTTTTATGTGGTGGGAAGGATTTAACAATCCTTTGATAACTTTTAGTTGTTTATCATTAGAAAGAAACCAAACAATAAAAGACCTCTTGCAAGTTTCTTATCCATACAACCAAAAGTTCCTAAAGAAACTTAATAGTCTAAAAGGCAAATATTCATTTACCAATTCAACCTTCTGCTTGCAATGTTCTTAACAGATCTAACGGCATCTAGATTTAATAATAAGCTAATGCTATGATGTATGATTCATTTGTTAACGTGAAGCCACCAGTTCTATTTTCCATAGGATCTATATATATATAATTTTCCTGTCACCAATTTGTCAAGTCTATTATTGGTTATTTCTGCTTGATTTTGACCTCTAACCACCCAATGTTAAAGGCTCATTGCTTAGGTCCATTAGAAATAGGTATTTCAAAAGTGTTTAATTTTGCTATTGATATACTTTCATCTAAAACTTTAACCAGCAAAAAAGTTAATCCATAAATATCTTTTAAGTGTTTAAGTGTGTTTTCAAGATATTTACATTTTTTTTTTTGGTTATGATGTTAAAAATCTTCATATATCTTATATTAGGGTGCATTTCAAGGTCCCAACAATTCTGCATTTGACTCTACGTTTGCCTGAGAGTCTTTGCTTTGAATGCTCATGTTTTGCTTGAAGAAACTTCTCCTTCATTTTCTCTCTTTGAAACCTAGGTTTTCAGTATAATGAAGGTCATTTTCTACCCCAGTGTTCAGGGAGTCGGTTTTTCCACTACTTACTATAACCATAAGGAGCTGGATCTAAGCACAAACATGCGAAGTAAATGCCTTTATACCCTTATGCCCAGTGTTTTAAAAGCGAAAGGCGCAAGGGAGGCGCATGCCTTTTCGAGGCAAGGCGCACAATTTAAAAAAAGCTAAAAAATAAAAAAGTAAAAAAAATCAAAAAATTATAAAACATAATATTAATAAAAATATAAACTTAAGTTTTAAAATAAGTGTTTTAAAAAACCTATTATCTAAAATTAAAATTCATAGACATAATATGTAAAGCATATTCAAATGAGAATTTACAAAATGAAATCAAACATATAAAACATTTTCAAGCATATAAAACCCACAAATCTCTTTTTTTCTCAATTGCATCAAGTAGCTAATGTGACATATTACATTCCTAATTCTACGAGCCACCTTTGTGCCATGCCCCTCAAGGCAAAGCCCAAACAAGTCCATGTTAGGGTCTTAAATTCTGAGTTTCACACAAAAATAATGATTTTATAGTTTTAATTGCTTTTAATAAGATATTTTATTAGGATGAATGAATGGGCAGCATTACCAAATAGGGATTCTCGAAGCTTCGGTTGGGCTTGCCTTGAGGGGCGTGGCACGGGGGTCCGGGGGCGGAGTCCCAGCCCCGCTGCCAAACTCAAAAAAAAGGAAAAAACGACAAATTTTCAAAAGGCACATTCCTGGGCTAAGGCACAAGGCGCACGCCTAGGACCTGGGCGAGGCGCCTACCCTAAAGTGCTCCTAGGCGCGCCTTTTAAATCATTGCTTATGCCTATAGTAGTTCCTTTGAGTTGCAATGAAATCAATAATTTGGTGACTTGTTGCATCTCAAATTTAGTTTTATAGTAAGAAAGCTGGCATTTTTATCAATACCTGGAACCTTGCAGTGTATATCCTCTTTGGGAAATCATTTTATGATGGTGATGATAATCATTCTCATGATTAATGATTGTGTTATTACAGTATTTAGAACAAGCTTGAGATGAATTTCTTGTACTTGATTTTTCTATCAACACATCAATGTTGAAGTCCTATGATCTTTCTTTTCTGCTTTTTTTCCCTTTCCTTTTTTATTTATTTTGAATCAATAACATGAAATCCTACAATTTTGCATATGAACTTATTCTTGTTTAGAAGCTTGCATATGTACATTCATAATGTATCTCATGTATTTTCCTGTTGCTATGACTCATTTGCTTACATGATGTTTTTAAAGGAACAATATTGAGTTGCTTAGTATTATGGATATGCAAGTATGGATAAGGTTTTGCCCCACATATAGGATCTTATGGGATGCTTGTTATCAAATTTAATCACTTCCAAATGATTACTACAATTGTTAACAATATCGTAATAGGTTACTGGTTGGTTGTATTTTTTTTTTTTGAGTAATAAGGTAATGTGTAAATTTTGATTGGCAACAAGATCAAAATATTTTGATAATTGAAGATTATTATAATGTAGTTGTGGGCTCATAACTTTTTGTTTTAAAATCGATGTAGAGTCATGTGAACAGAAATCAGCATTGGAGAACTTCACTGCAGTTGGTTTTGATGAGAGAATGTTGCTTCACTCAGAAGTATGTTTCTGCACTGTTTCCCTATTATTTCTTTTTGTTAACTGCTTATGGCCTTCAGAACCAACCCGAGTTATGGGTGTGAGGTATTGTTGAGTTGAGTTGACTAGAACTGTGTTCTTATTATATTTTCTTATGGTTAATTTCTTTTATCATTTAATTTTCTCAAAGGTTAAACACACCGATTTTGCATTTTATATCTGTGGAGGGTGGACACATCACACATGGTGGTTGTTTTCTCAAGGGAAAATAAAAAACATATTTTAGTGTGCCAACTTTTAATCATCAGTGCTTGCGAGTTCTTTTAATGGGTGTTTGTCGTATAGTCTCATGTTGTTCCCTTTTTTTCCCCTGAAAACATGAGGCGTTGAAATATTGCTGCCAAAAAATTATTTCAGCACCCATGCACACCAAGGCACTCTACAATGGGAATGTACAAAATGAAAGAAGCATAAAAAAACGTTGCTGCTTATGAAAAAGGTTTTCAACATTTGTATCAAAATAACCCCTACTGTACAATGGGATTTTTTTTTGAGAAAGAAGTAAGGTATTGTATTGAAGTTATACTGTAACGAACAAAAAAATAGGAAATTTACAAAAAGAAAGAAGCATCAAACAATATTGCTGCTTACTAAAAAGGTTTTCAAAATATGTCTCAAAATAAGTGCTCTATGGTACCCCTTTTAAACATTTTTGTGAACTGCCAATCATGCCCATAAATTTTCTATGGTTCTCCTTACTATTGATTCCTCAAAGCTTACATAGTTTTCAAAGATTCATGATTCATGATTCATGAATTCCTTTTGCTCCATACAGACCGAAATATTGCAGCTGGAACCACCCCAAATTAGTAAGATAGTTGGCAGACATGGAAGCATGTTTTTAACCTCTGACAAACTTTTCAGCATTTCTATGATTTCATTCCATTTCTGCAGATGGAACTGCCCTAAATTAGTATGATTGTTCACAGACACAGGAACAAGTTTTTTAACCTCTGACAAAAATTTTGGAGTTTCAATGATTTCATTCCATTCTGTGGATTGCCTGAACAAAGTATAGCTTGGCTCTGAAAATTGTATTACATGGAATGCAAGAAGAAGTGGAATTTCGCCGCTTGTCCATCAATTTACTGGATTCTGGAATCCAATAAATTGTGGATTCCACTCCATGTTTTCAACTTGTTGACCTGACAGGTCAGACTGGTCAACCCATCACCCGAACCAGGATTATGTCTTATTTGCTTGCGGTACAAATGTTGAAATTTGGTTTTTAAATTGTTTTGTTTGTGTCAGACGTGCATGCACTGATGCACATGTTGCTCAAGTGTCATACCTTAGACAGCAGGACTGCGTGAAAGGACATAAATTGATTTAATGTGCACTTTCAGAACTCAAGAATTGTATTTTAAATGTCCTGACTCACAGTTTACTTTTCATGAACTTCTTAACTGAGAATTTAAGATCCATATATTTTTCCATTTTAAGCCTTTCACATTAGTTTGTTTTGAATTATCTTACATCTCTCTCTCTCTCTCTCTCACACACACATGACACATCTCTCCTGCTCTGTTTTTCAGCACAGTCAAATGAGTATATAGGAGCACACCCAGGAGCTTGCACCTATTTATTTAGTACAATTTATTTTAATGAGATTTTGTACTTGTTACTGATAGGAAGGTAAATAGAAAAATGAAAAACACTAGATTAATTATCTTATCATCACACAAGCTTCTTGGTTTGTTGATATCATATCATATTGGCTAAATTGTTGATCACCTTTAATACAATTTTATGATGTTGTGGGTCTCTTGAAGTGTTTATATTATGAAAAGATCTATCTAGGCTGGGTTTAGAAAATGGTTGTGAGAGGTTATGGTGTTTTCATTTATTATATTTTCCTTTTCTTTCTGTTTGTGTTTTTGTCTTTGGAGTTCTTCTGGCAACTAATAATCTTGGTTTGCACCTTCCATAATTTTTCTTGTCTTGTTTCTTCCCTGTAAGAACATTGGCTTATGCTGATCAGAGAAGTTCCATATAATTGCCTTGTTAAGAAAAAAAGATAATTTCTGTATAATCATGTTCCAATTTCATAGCATGGTGAATTTTCTAACAGTGTCAAGCTGTTTAGAGTATTTTTCTATGGTTAGTTCGCTGTATAACTATTGCAGCACTTGAGTATGATGATGTTGTTTGGGATCCAATTTATACTAATCCATCTGTTCTTGTTATATTGGAAATTCTATTATCTGTTTCCATTCTTTATGGTTATGAAAAACTTCCATTTTTTTAATGGTTCTGCCTGTGCTAGAATAGGTTGATATGAAGTCCCATCCACATCCAGAAAGACCAGATCGCCTTCGAGCAATTGCTGCTAGCCTTGCTACTGCAGGTTTGTTGTCTAAATTTTCCCATCTGTTTAAAATTGTTAATGCTTCAGTGTTGGTTTGCTATGCTATTGTTTTAATTTTCTAAAACGTTCTTTTTAAAATTGTTAATGCTTTGCCATCTCCCCCTCTTTCCCCTCCTTTTGGGATTTGCAGGTATTTTTCCTGGAAGATGTTTATCAATTCCTGCTAGGGAAATTACTCAAGAAGAGCTCCTGCCAGTGAGTTCACACTACACACTCGTGCTATTTCGAATTCAATTCATGCATCTAGATCCATGTTTAGGTGCAGGAACGTGCATGGATCTAAGGCCCATTACTTGAGGGTCTTGGACATTCACTAAATATGCCTGAGAATAATTCTGATTTTCTTGTATTTTGTGTAATTTTTCCTCTGATCAGATCATCCAAATCCTCTGTTGCCTCCATTTGTTGATTTATGACTATGAATCTTCAGGTCCACTCCCTGGAGCACATTGAAGCTGTTGAAATTACAAGTTGCATGCTGTCTAGGTATGCCATTTGGCTTCTCTCTCTTTCTCTCTCTCACTCTCACTTTCACTCTCATTCATGTGTACACTTGCACAACTTGTTTGTGTTGTTTTAAATCATAAAGTTGTTTTGATTTTGGCTTGTAGTGCACAGAAACTAATAGTATTTTGCTGAAGGGCTTGCTGAAGAGACGTTTAAGCTCAGTTTGGTGGACAATCTCATTGTAGATAATATGGAAAACCTTGCTCTTCTCTAGGTGTACCAGGATTAAATTGTTTTTCCCGGGAAGAGAGAATGGATTTATTATAAAGTTTGTTAGAATCAGAAGCCTGATGCATAGGGAATATCTTTCTAGTTTCTACATCGGTGAAGCTTGAGAGATATATCTTTACATCAGTAAAATCATTAATGGAACAGAATTTTCTATTTGTTCTCTGTGAAACTGTCCCAATTAGACAAAGGGGGATAATCTCCATGCTAAGAGAAATTTCAAAACAACAACAGTGACAACACAAAAGAAATTTACATGTCTTGACAAAGTTGTTCTCCCTTGTGAAAATAATCCTGATTGAGATCTTTGAATTCATTTGAAATATTGGATGATTCAAAGATTCCATGTCTGTACATATTCCAGGTCTTGATACCCCAAAGAAGAACAAAATGGAGAATCTTTTGGAAAATGATCTGTGGTACAGAATGATCTGTGGGTCAACATAAGTAAACATTCTTATGCTCTGTTGAACTTGTCAAATTCTTATCATAAAGGGAAATGAGGGAGACCATCTTGAGAATATGGCAATGAATGAATTAATGGATATTCTCTCTGTTGATATCCTTGACTTGGAACTTATAAAAATTCATATCAGAAAGGGAAAGGAAGGAGGCCATCTTAGTAACATGGCAATAAATGAATTAATTGTGCTGCTCTTCATTATCCTTGGACATGATTGGCTTGGGTTTGCATGGGATAAGATGATATAACTTGTAGGCATTGTAGACTGTACCTTTTTCTTTTTTACCCTAGAGTATGCTATCTTTCTATTATAACAGTAGTTCTATTGCTAGAACTGACGAAAAGGAAGGGAAGGAAAAATGGATTTAGGTGGTGACCAGGTATAAAAACGGAAGGAAAATAAGAATCCAGGAAGGTGAGGAAGACAATAAGACATTGACAAGTTTGGTGGTGGAAGATCAAACTCAGAAACAAGGAACAGAGGAGAAATCAACAAGGGCAGAAAGAAGCTGCAATGGTGTTGAAGTTCAGAAAGTTGTAGGAGACCATTTCTCTCAGTCGAGTATCAGGGAGTCTGAACTGCGCTCAGAAACTGATAGCAACAAGAAAGAGACCATCCCAGGTGGCGACGGAGAGCAGCAGCTCAGTTTAGAGGAGCAGAATGTTACGATCCATTTGTCCCATGTTGGTAGTATGGCATGCTAATGTGAGGTATCCCACATCGGTAGTCTGGGATGCTGTTGTGGGGTATACATTGTGCTTGGGTTCCCTCCCTGTAACAGCTAGCTTTTAGGGGTTAGTTCTCCTAAGGCACATAACACAGAATCCTGTCAAACCAACTCCCACATTTAAGGAGAACACAACAGAGGAAGCGGAACCCGAAAAGATTGAAAGAAGCAAGAGAGGATTAGTGAAGAGATCCGGTTCTAATATCCTACAGCTTTCTCCCAGATCTGAAGAGGTAAGTCAAGTTGTTTTGCTGAACACCCCCTCTTCGGAAGGACTGAACAGGAGGGAGTGGGAGCAAGGAGAGAGGATAGAAGAGGAAGTAGGGGAAAAAACAAAAGAAAAAGGAAAGCAGCAGGAGGGGGAGGAAGGAGGAGAGCTACAAAACAGGGCGGGCATATAAAAGAAAAATCAGGCAATCAGGCCTTCTTCAGAGACCAGAAGAGGAGAAGGGAAGGGAGGGGAACGAAGTTGGAGAAACAGGGGACAAGGTTAGAGAGGAAGAAAGAGCACAGAAATTTCAAAATGCCCAAAACATCTCGGAGCTAGTATAAAATGGAGAGGTGAATATCAATAAATTGGTGGAAAGGGAGGTTGAGATAGGGAAATCCCTCACCTTAGTGTTCTGGGGAGGGGAAGGCTTTGTGAAGATAGCATTTGAGAAATTTGAAAGAAAGAAGAGAGAAGAGGAGGGAGATTCTAGAAAAAAAGGAGTGGGACAAGGAAGGGGGAGAAGAGGAGGGTCTGGACCAGAACGAGTGAAGGAAGGGAGTTGGGGGGTAGATGGTGGGAGGGGGATAGGGATGAAGATTAGTAGGTGGAATGTGAGGAGTCTGAAGGAAAGAAGAAGGGAGATAGTGAGAAATCTGCTTAGAAATCTCAAACCAGAAGTGCTGTTGTTACAAGAAACAAAACTGGAAAACTTTGACTTAAAAATGAAGAATGAAACCTTGGGAAAGGATGGAGGAGAATAACTGGAGCTGAAAGCTTCAGGACTTTCAGGAGGAGCTGTATTATTTGGAATTCATGGGTGTTCAAAATTTTGGGAAGGAAGTGGAACATTCTCGGTATCAGTTTGTTTGTAAGAAGTAAACGGGGAGTTGAAATGGGGTTTATCAGATTGGGTGCTTAGACTTCCAGTCTTGACCAAGTATCCAAAGATGATTTCTTGGAAAGGTTCTGGTGTACCCTTGATTTACAGCCTTGTAATGAAGACTCTTCTTCAGTTTGATTTCTAGTGTGTATCTGGTGTGTCAACTTGACAACCATTGGTGTTGAGGTGTACATCCCTTTTTTCAATTTAATGAAATTTCTTTTTGATTCTTCAAAAAAAATCTTTCTATTATAATACCATGCTTATTGCTTATGGATATGATATTGGAATTTCTGGGGCCAATAGATTGTTATGGTTGATTTTTGCATTGGTTCATTGTTTTTTGTCAACAGCGATTTTGACATCAGTTCATTGCATTTGATCAACAGCTATTTCACTCCAGACACATATGCTAATCAACACTCAGCATGTGCTGCAAGGGTTGCGGCAGGGTTGTGTGCAGATCTTGCTTCAGCAATTATGTCAGGGCGAACCAAGAACGGTTTTGCTTTGGTAAGGGACTTCCTTTATTTTCCCCAGTCAAACCTCTTTTAGATACCTTTCAATTGACATTGAACACTTACTAATATTTACTTCCTTGTTTTTGTAAGTCAGGTTAGGCCTCCTGGACATCATGCGGGTGTAGGACAATCGATGGGCTTCTGTCTCCACAATAATGCAGCAATTGCTGCATTGGCAGCTCAGCGTTCAGGTGCCAAGAAAGTATTAATTGTTGATTGGGTAATGACAGAGAGTTCCTATTAATCTGGTCTCTGATTTCGTTTCTTGGTCTATGCAATGTTTCCAAATAATACACAATAAAGTTATATGCATTCTATTTGCAGGATGTACATCATGGAAATGGCACACAAGAAATATTTGAGGGAAACAAATCGGTAAGCTCTATGATGAGCACAACCGAGCTTATATGTATTGACATGTATGTGTGTGTATTGTGGCCATTCTGGATCGTGCACCAGATGAGCTATGGCTTGATTCCTGCAGTCCACACCAACTCTATGCTAATTTGGGTGGCTGCCTCCTGGAATGGGAGATTGTAATATGTAAACAAAAAGATGGAGTTAGTTGGGTGGGTGGTAGGAGCTTGTCCTTGCCTAAAAGGGTGTTTTTTTGCAAATTTATGATTGTCTTTATCATTTTTTTAAACTCACAAGTTAATACAATCTCTGAAGAGCTACTAATAAATAAACATTGCATTAGAGTTTTACCCTATTAATACTATGCATCCAATTTTTAATTTTTTATTATTGATACATGACAAGGTCTTTTTGGCCGAAATTTATTCCCTGAGTGTGAGGAGATGAACACTGAGTATCCTTGTTGTCCCAAACTAAGTTGCCATGCGGAGGATACCTGTCTCATTTGGACTTCTTCACTAGGGGCCAACTGGCAAACCTGTTCCCATATGTTATGTTTTGGCAGGGGGAAATGAAATGAAAGTTGTCCTGGCTGGATTGGACCATTTTCTTCTTGGATTGAGGACAGAGTTTCAATGCCAGTTCTCTAATTGGCAGCTAATGGCAATTCTGTAGGTCTATAGTTCTGAGGTTTCACTACATTAAAACAAGTAGATTCTCAATTATTATCTTTTCTTGGACCACTTCCATTTTGTTTACCGTGCATAACAATGTTGAATGTTCACTTAGAAAATGGGTTTTTATTTCTCTGAAAAGATTTGCTATCCTGAATAATGTTTTTAACCTGTGGTTGAACATGGCAGTCAGGTTGGTTAACCTATCACCCAGCCAGATTTCTGGGTTTGTTTCACCCCTGAACTGCTTTTTTTTTTTCTTTTTTTTTTTTGTATTTCAGCCATTTCTATCATTAATAATGACAAATGTGATTTGTCATACTTATTTTTGTTTAATATGATGAATATATAATATTAGAGACATACCTAATTTTTCTGTAAATTGTTTGAAAAATTTTGTACTCTTTCCTGTAAACTTATCTATTTTATATTTTTATTATTTAATTTATGATATCAAAGGTTAATTTGTTTGATCTATAAGGCTGAACCGCTAACCTGCCACCTGGATGGAAAAGCACTTCTGTTTCTGAGTTGGTTTTTAAAATACTAATCCTGAATGATGTCAATATTTATTTTTATTGAGTGGTAGATGAGCTTTAACTGTGTTATTTTGAAGTTTGTGATTGCTATTGTTTGCTTTCTGACATGTTTATACTATGGAAAATATTGGGTTTTTTGTATCAAATTGCTTGCTGAATGAATTGGATTGTTCTTTAGGTATTGTATATTTCCTTGCATAGGCATGAAGGAGGGAGGTTCTATCCAGGCACTGGAGCAGCAGATGAGGTACTCTGGAATTTTCTGTTGTTTGAATTTGGAGATCACCTGCTAATTATAAAAAAAAAGGAAATTACATGCTGAACAGTTCAGCAGATGATTTTTACATCTGATGCGCATCTAGGATCTGCCACCTATACAAGGGTGGTGGGCTGCTTATCTTTGGGGATGGCTGGAATCGAAGTGTTGAATACTATAGTGGTACCCTGAGCCAATTGGGTCATGAAGCTTTGTCCGTTATTTGACAAATTCTTCTTATATGATGTTTTATATGGGTTTTTCAGCATACTCTTATTTTCCAGTTTTTTATGTCAATGAATTCTTTATTGCTGTTTTAGAAATTTGTTCATTAAAGTATTCAATTGTTTGAGTCTCACTCCATCTGGTATGAAGAATTCTGACTAAGACAAAGTTGCACGTGTTTTGGGAGTTTTGTTTTGCTTTATTGGGTTATGGGAGTTTTGATCCAACAAATAGAGGAAGGAATGTGATAATTGTTTGCTATTTCCTTTTTCTGGATGATTTCTTATCACCTATACCGTGTCCTGTATCCCTTTCTTTCTTCATACGTTTTCTTTTTGATTTATCTTAAAAAAAATGCACAAATCAAATCCAGTCAGACCCATCCCTCTAATGAATGCTCTGAATTTGTCACATCATCCCTCTATATGGCTGACAGGAGAGGTTCATTTGTGGATTCATGTATCTTGCTGTATTTGTGATTGATGTATGCACATTTCTATTGTTGTTTTTATGTATTTGCATATAGCAAATGCAAAGGTGTGAGGTGAAGTGCTAGGATTGTCCAATGTGGCAATGTGTAGGTTATAATCCTCATGACATCTCATATTTTTTGATAAGTAACTTCAATTTTATTAGAAGATTCAGTATATATACCAGTACAAGTTCCCAAAGAGAGGTGTCAGATGCACCTCTCATAATAGAAAAAATAAGAAAATAGATTACAACATAGCCCAATATAACTGATCCCTATTAACCCCTTGCTTAGTTAAGAAATCAGCCATCCCATTGGCAACCTTCTCTCGCACTATATCCTCATTGTCATGTTGCTAGTAAGCCTTTTGAACTTTTTTATGTCATCCTTATACTCTCAAAAAACAATCTTTTGGCTTTTTTAACCATCCCACCACTATCTTTGAGTCAGCTTCAATTACAAATTTACAACCAATTTGTCTGAGTTTAGATCTTTTGCTATCTGCACTCTTGAATTACTACTGCCAAGAACTCAACCCTAATTGAATTTCCTGTACCCAAGGATCAAAATATCGATATACTCGACACCAAAAGTTGGGTACTGGTGTGTATTGATATGACTGATACTGTTATTTTTATTTTTTATTTTTTACCTTTTTATTTTATAAACATTAGAGGGATGAAGTCCATCATCTTGAAGTATTAAATATCTTAAAATACTTGTGTATTAGTGTATCCATACATATTTAAGTGGATCGATATGGATATGATATACCCAATATGGGGTGCATTGTATTGATATTTTGATCCTTGGCCATACCCAATGGTACCAAGAACAAAGTGACAATTATCCATGTTTATTTCTAAACACACCTCTTATGCCAAATGGGCCTAGATTTCCTTGGCTGCTTCCATCACAGTTTAGTTTGATGAAGTCTTTAGTCAGAGGCAATGATTTAAAAGGTGCGCCTAGGCGCATTTTAGGGTATGCGCCTTGCTTAGGTCCTAGGCGCAGTCCTTTCACATGCGCCTTGTGCCTCAGCCCAGGTGTGTGCCTTTTTAAAACTCTATGCTTTTTTTTTGCTTTATTTTTTGAGCCTAGCGGCTGGGCCGGGGGCTTTACCCCTGGATCCCTGACCACACCTCTTGAGGCAAGCCCAAACAAGACCATGTTAGGGTCTTAAATTCTTAATTCTCACATAAAAAATAATGAATTTATAACTTTAATTGCCTTTTAAGAAGATATTTTGTTAAAACGAATGAATGAACATCATTTTTTTTCTGTGAGAATAAATGATTTAAGACCTTAACATGGACTTGTTTGGGCTTGCCTCGAGGGGCGTGGTACAAAGGCGGCTCATAGAATTAGGAATGCATTATGTTTTACATCACTTTCGCTACTTGAAGTAATGCAATTGAAGAAAAAAAGAGATTGTGGGTTTTACATGCTTGAAAATACTTTATATGTTGCATTTTATTTTTAAAATTTTCATATGAATACTCTTTACATGTTATGTTATGTATTTTAATTTTAGATAATAGGTTTTATAAAACATTTATTTGAAAATTTAAGTTTATATTTTTTATTACTATTATGTTTGATATTTATTTTTGTTTTTTGGCATTTTTTGAATTTTCTGACATTTTTTTTTATTTTTAGCATTTTTTTTTTGCATTTTTGCGCCTTGCTTCAAAAAGGCGTGCATCTCGCATTGTGCCTCGGGCGCAAATTGGCCCTTGTGCTTTTTTTGTGCCTTGCACTTTTAAAACAATGGTGACGAAAGAAGTCAAACTTGCTCCTTTTTTGGAGGGCTCTTTGTTACCTCACCCAAATTCCTCCATATATTATCAAAGGATAGGTGTGGGAAGATGTCCATGGTTCTGACCCATTGTATCACCCTAGTCATTACACATTCCTTCACAGCCTCCCTCCTTCCTTTCTTTTTCAAGAAAAAATCTTGCATTCCTCTCTTCCCCGATAGTCCATAATACTGCTGCCCTTGTGCATCTCAACAAAACTCTTCCCCTTCTCTTGAGCCGCTAAAATGTAGCTATACTGCTGCCCTTGTGCATCTCCACTAAACTCTTCCCCTTCTCCTGAGTCATTGAAATGTAGCTTGATCAAAGAATCTGGTCATCTCCATAGACAAGTTTCACCTACACCCAAAGAAAAGAAACATTCCAAAGGTCTGCAACAAATGCATAGGAGGTTAGTAGGTGGTTACAGTCATCATTAGATGTCATGAATATAAGTAAAATGTTTAAGTGAACTAATCATCATGCATTGTTTTCAAGGCGCCAAGACGAGGCTAGGCGACAGGGGGCGCCTTGTCACCTAGACGCCTAGGCGATGGATTTATGTTAAAAACATAGGTCCTAAGGTAGTTCTCTAGGTACCATAACCATATTTCCTTAATAATTATTCGTAAGAAAAGTATAAAGTTCAAAGTATAGAAAATCAACATATTCATGAGAAGAAAAAAGAGGAAAATAAAATTCAAAAAATATAGGGGCTGAACCCTTAGAAGAAGAAGAATTTGGTATATAGACACACAAAATGATTATTTTAGTTTGATAATGTCTATTTTATAATTATAATTTCAAAAAAGAATGAACAAAAATGTATTTTATAGTAGGAAGTAAAAAACTGCTTGGCGATTAGGTGAGACGAGCCTTAAAGGGTGCCTTGTCGCCTAGGTGTCTCATTGACAACTATGTCATCATATAAACAGGGACTATAAGTATTAAGAGCGCAAAAGAACTAATTTCATTGCTAGAAATCCTTCAAGGCTACTAGAAATATTTTAATGTAAAATAAAATAAAATAAATTCTTAAACGGGTGCTAAAGACACTATATATTAAATAGGGTGCATATAAACTTATGCAAAAAGCTTAGAGTTGTTTCTAAGTTCAATCTTGAAACAAGAGCCCTTCTTACGGGTGATGTATGAAACACTTGTTCTTGACATATGGCATCTTGATGCATGGGCATATCTCTTAAACTTGGTATGCCCATCAAGGTTGAGCCTCCAATACTTGGGGTGATCCTGAAACATAAGCTTCATATTTCTTTCTAAAAGATTAGCACATAGCTTTCTGGTTTTCTATTCTAATTTGTTGGTTTAGTGTTTATGTACTCTATTAAATGATATCTGTTATGCAGGTAGGGATTTTGGGCGCAGAAGGATATTGTGTGAATGTTCCATGGAAGTGTGGGGGAGTTGGAGACAATGATTATATTTTTACGTTCCAACATATTGTGATTCCTATAGGTTAGTCTCTTATCTTTGACATGGAAAGGACCTTTTTTATTTGAATTTTTTTGATAATCGAAGAGGAATTTTATTAACAAAAGATGAGAATTATTACAAGCATATCATTCTCTAGAGTTAAATAAATTTCTTAGAACTTGCTTATATTTTTTGATATTGCCAAGAGCAATGAAGTTTGTGGCAAATTGTATCACCCTTGGCAAACAATGTCCCCTTTACACTATTCTCTCATCATAGCGAGAAGCTCACCATGGTTGTAGAAAAAAATTGTTACTTTTCTTGCATTATCAATGGTGGTCTTCATTATTTTTTCTCTTTCTAATATCTTCTAGTATCAACTCACTGTAATGTGTAGCACATGGAATCCAAAATATGTTATACCTGTTCATCATTCTTTTTCCTACCTTCTAGTAATTACTTCCATTGTCTATCACAATCTGCACCTCATTTTCAGGTCCTACCTCATTAACAACACATCAACACTCGTAAAAAACAATACATGCCATCAATTTATAAATATATGGTGAATCTTTTTTTTTTTTAAAGAAAAAAAATCTCTCAATGCATCAATGGATGTGTGAAACATTGTCTTGCCATTGCAATACATCATAAAATTGATAATAGACAGCCTTATAGGACCTGTCTAACCATCACACTTAATTGTTACGCTATATTTGGGCTAATTTAGCTTAAGTGATACTGTATACATTTTTATTTCATATTCTTCTTCATCCAAATAAGGGCTCATTATCTCAAAAGGGGTAGGTGGCTTTATACTTGAGCCAAGTTTTGCCACTTCATTACACATTGTCTTATAAACAAGTGAGTTGGCAGCATTAGCAGAAATATGATTGAAATGAAAGAATCTTGCCAATGCTTTTTCCATTTTTTTCCTCAAATCTTCACCACTAAGCGTTGATTTCAATTTCTTTTGACCTACATCTTTGTATCGATATAGGTGTGCGTCTATAGGCATTTCTGCGTCTCGTACATTGTATCATTGTATGAACAATGCATTCTACTCTGCCCTTGTTTACTATTACCATTGATACTAGATCCTTGATTACTATCACTTGGTCTACTTAAGTTAATTCTTTGTAATTGATCACTGTTCCATCTATTTGCATTTTGCAAGAGACTCTCTAACAACTTTTTTGTATGCTATTCTATTTTTTTTGTCACACAATCATTTGGGTACGTTATGTATTGCATCTTGAAACTCTTTTGCACATGTTGCTTTGTCCTGCTTAGATGCTTTTTGTTCCCATAGTACTATGTGCATAGCCAAGCTCACATCTCTTGGGCATTTTTGGCATTAGGCTACATTTTTAAAACTACCTGTCTAAACCAACCGTGGGCTGGCTCGTTGGTGTATGCTAGGTTTGTTCCAGCAATGATGCAGAATCAAATTCTGCAACCAGCATTATGGGGAAAAGGGTCAGGGGGGAAGTTATTAATGGTGCATAGCACCGAATACAAAAAAACCCACCTGTCTAATGCTATTTCATTCTAGGAACACCACTACTACCAATTATTTTGCCACAATAATTATAGATAGACTTATTCGTCTTACCTTTTTATAGGTTTTCCATGTTGCCATCCAATATCATCCAGTATTGGCATTTTATATGTCTATGAGTCTGCATAAAGAAAACAAAATATTACAATACAAGCTTTACTTACAACAAAACAAGCATACTGTATTAATTTTACTATTAAAATATTACATTTTTGCTATATTTATTATGTTTATACACATTTTCATTAAAATATCATTATTTTTTTAGACAAGCATTACTGTTTGCAGTAATTACTATGGATTTTTAGATAAAATATTTCAATTTTCTAAATTTATAATGAATTTTGACATTCCTATAAGGCTATACTAACGCTCTTATATACTTATAATGGATTTTAATAAGTTTATTATAAATATTAATTGTTTATTTATTTAAATAATATACTGATTCATTTTAATAAATTTTAAACTATATACTGATTTATAATGAATTTTTTCATATTACAAGGTTATCCTATTTTTGATTTTGTTTAATTCTGATTTATTGTAAAATTTAATCAATAATAAGAATTAAATCATATATTAACCATTTAATATTTTTACTTTTATTAGTGACTTTAAGAGTAATGTATAATAGTATACTAGATATTAATACTTTTATAATTAATATACATACATACATACATACATATATATATATATATATATTATGTGTGTGTGTGTGACATGGAATAAGATTTTCAGATGTCTCTCTCTTTTTCTCTGTTTTGACATGGAATAAGATTCTGTACTTAGTTGACATTTCTGAAATATAGGAAATGTTTATGGACGTATTGTATTTTTTATATCCACCCCAAGTTTATGTTGGTAAGTCCCGACACTGACATATGTTGGGCAACATTACCAAAATTTTGCGACGTCTGAAACCATGGGTGGACTTGGGAGCTGATTAATTTGTTAAGTAGGTTGGCTTGTAAAAAATGTGACGATAACCAAGATTTTTACAATCTGTTTTGATTTTTCCAGAGAGGTTCCAACTTTATAGTGACTAATCAAGCAGAAGATTGCAATATAATGAACAGTCTAGTGTCACATTTTCTTAATGTGTTGGAAGAGAAGTCATGTATACTTGATTTTGATGAGTACAGTTCCATGTAATATGAAAAGAGTGTAGTTCCTAGTTTCTAGGGCCATCTTTTAAGGGCTTGTTCTGGCATGCACTTGGCACAAAATGATGTGGACTATCTAGCTGGATGTGGGTTTGGAGGGAAGTTAATGCAAACAGACTTGGCCTTGCTTGTGTTTTTCAGATTCACTTTTGTTTGTTCTTTACGTCCTGTATTCTTGCAAAATTTGTATCATTTATTTCTTGTGAAATGTCCAGTTGTGGAATGTGATCATACTACATTCGTTAATAGGTACGATCATCCTTGTTAATGGGTTTGAGCCATCTAATGATGTTTAAATTGTGTCTACTTTCAGCTTTGGAGTTTTCCCCTGACATCACCATTATTTCAGCAGGTTTTGATGCTGCAAGGGGTGATCCCCTTGGATGCTGTGATGTAAGAGTTTTCTTTCTTGGTTAAAAATCCTTTTTTCTTGATCCTCATGTTCTTCAGAGCATAGTTTCAATTTCCAAACTCATACTTCAATTTAGAACAGTTGTATATGTTCAACAACTTGAATATATGGAGAGCATATAAAAGTGCTGTAACTTTTTGATAAGCCTAACATTCCCAAGGTTTATGGTGTGCACCCTGTGTCAGATTTCTTGTCCCTTTACATCTTGGTGATATTATCCTTGCACAGGTAACTCCTACTGGTTATGCACAGATGACACATATGTTGAGTGTACTTTCTGGTGGAAAGTTGCTTGTTGTTCTTGAGGGCGGGTTGGTGGTTTACTTCCACATCTTTGGTTTACAAGTAATTATTAATCCTTTCCTGAAAGTTTAACCAAACATATATATTTATTTCCAGCTACAATCTTCGGTCGATATCATCATCAGCTACAGCTGTTGTAAAGGTTAGCATCTGCCAAATAATGTCCTTCTAACATCCTTTGTTGTATTATTCATTGATCTATTGCTTGACAACTTTTTTTGTTTTGTTTTTGTTTTTCGAAAAAGGTAAAGTAGTTCAATAAACTGAGTAATGGTAGTTTTTTTTCTTATTTACTGCAGATGCTGAACTAAATTATTGCATTGGTGGTTTCATCTGATTTGATTATTTGATCATGATTTTAAGGGATTTTAAAGCCACAAAAGTGTAAAAGTTTCATTGTGTAAACATTGCATCAGATATAACACATTTCAAATTAAAAGTCCAAAAGAATTGATGAAAAAATAAAAAATAAAGGGTCTGCTGTCAAAGAGAAAAAATGTTGAGAAAATTTAGCACAGAGGGTAGGAAGTATAATGATAATTGGAATGGGTTTGTAGGCCAAAGAAGGCAAATGGATTGGGATTTTAGGTTTGTGTTCAATGACAAGATTCTCCAGGGGAAATCTATCAGGGAAAAAAGGTTCTCCATGGGAAGTGGTTATGGAAATTAAATCTATGCACCTTATCTGGGTTACTAAGTTTTAAATATGGTGTAGTTTGCTTTGGGTGGGATTTTAGAGCAGCCTCTTCTACTTATAGGGTATGTGCATAAAAGGGAATAGTGGAGTTTTGACATGACTTCATCTCCAATGAAAGCATTTTTGAATAGCGGAGGAGTTTGACATTAGTCCTTTTTATTTGTACTGGTCATAGATGACTTGAGTAAATATATTCAAGAGGTTCCATGGTGCTTGATGTTTTCTGATGACATAGTATTAATTGATGAAACTAACAAAGGATTAAATGCAAAATTAGGTCTATGGACAACCATATTGGAAACAAGAAGTTTTAAAATAAGTTGGACTAAAACAGAGTATATGCAATGTGAATTCAATAAGAATAGTAGTGCAAACCAGGGTACATTTAGGATTGGAGACCAAGAGATAGCTTAATGTAACCTCTTACGTTACCTTGGTTCAATAATTCATAACAAAGGAGAGATTGAGGAGGTGTTTCTCAGAATTAGAGCAGGGGGCAAAATGGTGTGGTGCATCTGGAGCTTTATGTGATAGGTGAATACCACTTTAACTAAAAGGAAGGTTCTATAAAATAGTTGTTAGGCCAGCTATGTTGTATGCCCAGAAAATGAGTGTAGCAGTGATGGCTGGTCAGTTTTTGTTCTATTGGGATTCTTATGAGTTATGAGTAACAGTTTGATTACCAGGATTCTTATGAATATAGAGTCTATGCATATGTATGGACTTTTTACACAAAGGTCAATGAAGTTCATTGAGTTTTCTTGAGCTTGTTCCAATTATGGTGAATGATTTCCATACCCTAGAGTTATTATATAGGTACCTGTGAGTGATTTTGGGTATTCTCTCTATTTCTTTTCTTATTTATTTAAGAAGCCACTGCAATCATCAAGAGCCATATGTATATTTTTTAATCGAAGGACTAATATTGAATCGTTTTTCTTTCCGGTTCTTTCCTGTGGTTTTGCTGGCCTTTTTGGGCTGGGTTTCTGTGTACTTTTTTTTTCCTTTTTAATAACTTTTTTCTTTATCACTTATCAATTTTTTTTTCTTTATCTTTCAAAAAAGAAATAGAAAACTAAAAAAGGATGGTGTGAGAAAGGAAATCATATGAAAGAACCTGTGGGTAGCTCTAATAGGTGATACAATGAGAGGAAACTTGGTCACATGCATAGAAGCCCATCTACAAAACTTGTTAGATGAAGTGATCAATACAAGTTGAAGGTGCTAGAAGAGCTAGGGCCGATCGGAAAGGACTTGTGCGGATGTAGTAAGAAATGATTTAGCTGTCCATAAATTAAGAATGGATACAGAATTGAGCAGAATGGAATGGTGAAACAAGATTGATGCATCTGATCCCATATGGTTGGGACAAAACTTAGATGATGTTTATGAACACTATGTGAGCTATGCCCTAGACAATACCAGCTTAGTTCTAGATACCTTACTATTGATGTTTCAAGGTTCAGTATGAAGCTATCTGGTTTCATGTTCTATTTTCTGAAAGTTCATTCCTTGATATAGAGGCAGATGAAAAGATTAGACTTCATAACTTGGTAGATGACAATGTAAGGTTGGTTGAAAAGATCCATGAGTGGTGGTGAAAATAGTATTTTGAAGCCTCAAACATTGATAATTGTAGCACAGGAGGTAAGATGGAAGTTTCTCATGTAAAAGGCATATGGTGCAACCTAGTGCCTCCAATATATGGTCTTTGAGCGTTGGCCACCTCAAGAAGGGACGTTATAGTATGGTAAGCAGATGTTCTGTTTTCAAAGAGAAGAGTAGAATGCTATTTTAGTTGGTAGGGGCATTAGTTGGATTTGTGTTTCCCAACTATTAGCACACGATTCAATTTGGCTAGGTATAAGTTTGGTTCTTGAGTTTTTGCTTTTTTTCCCTCTCTTTTAGTATTTTTGGTAGTTTTGGGGCATTTTTTTTGTCATTTTGCATTCTTTCTTGAGTTCAAAAAGAAAGAAATTTGAGAATATTTGAAGGTAAGAAGGGTGCAATCAAAGGGTGAGGCATCTCAGCCTTAGCTATGTGCAGCTTCCGCTCCTTGCACAGAATGCAGTGCTTAGAAGGGACACAAAGAAGGTGATTGGGTTATCTCACACAGTCTTTCACTTGGTGCTTTGTGTTAATATGGTTCTTTTATCCCTACTTGGCTTTAGGCCTAATTTGGAATCAGTGTTTTAAAACACGGAGGTGTGATGCGAGGCATTCTACTACCTAGAGGCGTGAGGCGTAGTTCAGAACGCAAGAGGCGTAAGCGTCCTTAAGAGGAGGGGGGTTAGGATGAGGATGAAGAGGAAGGGGGGATTTCATTTTTTCTTTATTTTTAATAAAAATCTTTTACATTAAGAAGAACAAATATACATAACATTAGTTGAAAGGCAGGGGGGTGCAAACTACTTTCTTTCCCCCTATCTTTTCTTCCCTTCCCTTTCCTTTTCTTTCCTTTTTTCTTTTTTTTTCTTCTCTTTCTTTTTCTCTTCTTTTCCTTTCATTTCCTTTTTTTTCTTTTTCTTTTTTTTTCTGTCTTTTTATTTAAGATGTGCACGAGGCATACGCTTCATGAAAAAGCGCAAGAGGCATACACCTCTTGCACCTGAGGCGTACGCCTCAAAGGTGTTAGCGCCTTTGGCATACGCCTTAGTGTCACGGGGGTAATCGTTGGCCCCGTGCGGCACTCGAAATGGGCGAGTAAGCCTACGAAACAAAGCAAACACACACACAAA